AAAAAAAAACTTCATATAGATTAGATGACAGTTACACATCACTGTGGTAAGGGGATGATTTTGCATACTTGAACATAGGTCCCATATCGGTTGAGTTTGTATAATTATTTTCAAAACTCTAAATAATATTTTGGAAAAAAAAATTCTCACACAAAACTAGCAATAAAGGATTGATCACAAAGATATAAAAAGAACTGATGAAACTCAACAAAAATAAACAACCCCATGAAAAAATGGGCAGAAATGCTAAAAAGACACTTCTCCAGAGTAATTTCAGATGGCCAAGAAACATGAAAAAATGTTCAACATCACTTGTAATAAGGGAGATGCAAATTAACACCACAGTAAGATACCACCTCACCCCAGTGAGAATGGCACATCTTAAAACAACTAACAACAAATGTTGGCGAGGATGTGAAGAAGGAACTCTCTTGCACTGCTGGTGGGAATGCAAACTAGCACAACCACTGTGGAAAACTGGAGATTCCTCAAATTGCTAAATATGTAGCTTCCAAATGACTCAGCAATCCCACTCCTAGGTTATCTACCCAGAAACAAAAATACTGATTCAAAAAGATACCTGCACCCCCATGTTTAATGCTGCTTTATTTACAATTGGAAAGATATGGAAACAACCCAAATGCCCAAAAGTGAATGACTGGATTAAAAAGATGTGGTACATATACACAATGGAATATTACTCAGCAACCAAAAAAAAAACAACAACACATGCCTTTTGCAGCAACATGGATAAAGCTGGAAGAGATCTTGCTTAGTGAAATAAGTCATAAAGAAAAGGAAAAATACTAGATGGCTTCACTCATAGCAGTAGTTATAACAGACTAGGTAAGAAAATAATAATATGAAGTTATATTGGGGGTGGAGTGGGGAATGGGATCAAAAACAATGGGGGGAGGGAAATGCACTGGACTATGGTGATGGCACATTGGTGATTTAGTAATGGGAAGCCCACAGGGATTACAACTGAGATGAAAAAATGCACAAAATGATGTAAAAGTAAAATATTTAAAAAGAAAGAAAAAAGTTGCTTCTTGGAATAACCAAAGGCCTGGGGCACAATGGTAGAAGATAGTTTCCAGTATATAGTTTGTTAGCACATTCAGAAGTTATATTCTAAAATCTAGTTAACTTCTTTAAAAGATAAGAAGCATTTGTTCCACTACTGAAGTGAAGAAAATCCAGACTCTTGATTGGACAGTTGAACTTAACTAAATTTCTGCATGTGAGTGATAAAGTCCTTCAAATTAAACCACTACTGTCTGGGTGTGATCCCCAGCCAGGAGCTAACCCTGGCTACTTGCCTGGACTTCAGCTAAACCTCTAAAATCAGTTTTTGTGGAAAAACAGGACCAAATTTCATGTACTCTAACCTGTTATTGCTGAAGGTGCTGACTAGTCTGCATCGAAAAGCCATTAGACATTCCCTTCACAGTGGGATCCAGTGCTCTTAAGGCTGGAATGTGAACAGGCCATGGTGGTTTTGTCTTTCTCTCAGCCCTGTCAGCTGAATACATACAGTATTTATATAGCATGCTCTACTAGCTGAGGTATTACAGCTATTGCTTGATCCCACCTTTTCTTTCCAGAGAGTAGAGGGTTAGGAGATGCACCAGAGACAGAGTAGGGAGCATAACAGGTGGATCAACTAAAACTGAGGGAGCAGCAGGCAAGACAATCTGCTACCCCATAAGTGGGTTAGCTCCAGGCTGAGGATCACACCCAGGCCATAGCTGTGATAGAGGTGAGACTTAACCCCTAGGCCACCAGGGAGGCCTGATCCTCTTTTCAAAGTTACAGCTGAGGGTGATAACTTTAAGTTACTCTGAAGTATTCTTGCTCTAGCACCCTCCTTCTCAGGTTTTCATTAGAGGCAGCTCACACTCCACTTCATGCCTCAGTCTAACAATCCAACAAATAGCTAAGGTGCATAGCTACAAAGAGCTGATTTTATAAGTATAACATACCTAGATTCTATTGTCAATCAGCAGCAGTTAGTAGTTTGTTTTACAGAACACTTATAACTGGCCCCACAATTCAGACACTTGCAAAAGGCATTCCTAGTACTCCCTCTTAAAATAAAATCAAAGCATACCCTGTCAACACACTCTATCAACAGTTTACTGATATATACATTAGTCCAACTTCTTTCCCTGCATGCTAAGTAAATTGAGTCTTTTAAACCTGTCATCATGTCCTTATTGTTTTTTCTTCAGGGAGTGCTCTGTTCAAATTTCACATGCTTAGTGGATTTTTTTCTTGGATCCCAGTCCCCAGTGAGCCCACCCTCTCATAAGCTACCACTGAATGAAGACAGTAAATTTGACTGTTAACTCAGTGCTTTCTAAACATTTTCTTCCGCCACCCTCAAACACATTTTTTAATAGAAAAAGGAAAGTCAAATGTGTAAAACACAAGCACCAGATGAAAATGGTTAAGTACCAATCCCTTCCCATACCTCTAAAACATTCAGCTAGGCATTTCATTGACTTTAAATTCAATTAGCATTTGATATTATGAACCAGGCACTTAGTCAGGTAGGCTACAGTACTACCATAATCTGGCCCTTCATACAACTATGAAGTAGCATGTCTCCCCACTCCCCATTTTATACATAAGAGTTAAGTGGAGCTGGAAGAAGACCTGATTTAATCACTAGATTAAATTTATATGCAGGTTCTCAGATGAAACATTTCCAATCCACCAAACAGCTTCCAGGTCTGTTCTGGACTTTTCTTCCCTACATTGCACAAGAGAGAGCAGGTGGCGCCAGCACCAGAGTTGCTGCAAGCAGTGATCATAAACACAAGCTTAGTCATGGAAGAAGTGCCTGTGTCCTTGCATCTGTGACAGTGCTTAGTGTTCTAACTACTCCATGGCTCTGGGCTACTGCTCTCTCCCTTCTCCAAATAGAATTGATAGGATGATATAATCTTCCTTTATAATATACAATTATAGTAACCCAAACCAAACTAACAAAAATGTTATGTCCACAAATAAATAGCTATTTGCTTCCTTTCCCTCCTTGTCAAACTTAAAACTACAATTATTCAAATGTCCTCAGGAATGTCATTTAAGTTCCTAGTTTTTTTTTTTAAAAAGATTGATTTATTTATACATACAGATACAGAACTGAGGTACAGGCCAGAGATGCAGGGGTGGTGAGAGGCTTCACCAAAGACAGAGCGGGGAGCAGAACAGGCAGTTCAACGAAGTACACTACTGAGGGGAGCAGCTGGTGAGACAGGAGAGGTCTGCTGCACCATGTGGTCACCTCTAGGGCGGGGATCGAACTCGCACTGAAGTGGCTGGAGTGCTGCATCCTAACCCATTCCACCACCAGGGAGGGCCCTAAGTTTCTAGTTTAAAGGAAGGAAAAAGAGCAAATGTCCAGCCTAAAGGACAACAAAATCAGTCAATGCCAAGAACCAGATACTACATTAGGATTTAATGTTATAGGGAACTACCATTTGTAAAAAAAAAAAATTCACTGTATGAAAAACAAACCAGCTACATTAATAACGCAAAGACATTAAATAAGAGACTGCAATCCAACTTTCAAGTGTTTTATTTTTAGTGTTTTTAAACATTTTAATACAACAAAGATATAAAATAATATATATTAGTTAAATCTGGATTTTAATTTAGAATTAAGATATTTACTTATATACAATACTGTGCTTTAAGGTATGGCTACCACAGGAACTTTCTTTCACATCTTCAAGTAATTCTAGTTTCTCTGTGGATAGGGTGACATTTAGGTAGAATTCATAGAACAAAACATGCCCACTTTAATCCAAGATAAATTTTGCTTCCCACAGTAGAGTACCAGTTCTTCCTTTGTTCCATGTCAGGAACACAAGAAATGTCCTAACAATCTATAGACGTTCTTATTTAATAACTTAAAATTAGGCATTTTTAATATGATATTACTGACTGGTAACATCATTTGGCTATGCTCAGACAACCCAGTAGTTCAGACTGAAACAGGCCTGGAAGAACAATGAACAATCTTCTTTCTGTGTCCCTATGAGGTACAAAGCTCCCTATGTTTAAACAGACTACACTGAATAGAAAAATCCTTTGGTTAATTTAGGGTAGAACATATTCTAAAAGCCAACTTTTTCATTGCTGAAATATGGCTTATAAATTTCATAGATTTTTTTTATTAAACTTGATGCAGAGTAACCTACCACATTTTAGTTACTTTAAATTGGTGCCAACTCTTGGGGGTAAGAGGGACCAAAATCTACTTCCATAGTAATTTCAGTCATTCAAAGCCACTTAAAGACAGAGATAAAGGAAAAAAAACAATCTCAACCTCTTTCTTTTCTTATTGGTCACCCAAAGCTTCTGACTTTTGATTTTATTAACTTCTTCTCTACAGAGGTATAAGGGACAATCTGGGCTAAATTTTTTACAAACTGTCAAGTAAAATTGGCATAGTGACATGCTTTTTTGACTTTGAAACTATATAAACGAAACTAATAGTTTAAGTAAATGGACTATTCTAAAAAAGTTTTCTTATCTCAAATGCCTGAATATCTTAAAGAACTGACAAATGAATATTGTAATTATTTTTAAAAAAGGATAACTTAAGTTTAAAAAGAGGCTATAAAAGGGTTAAATTTATTAGAACAGTGTTTAAATAAAAACATGGTTATTCTCAAGTATTTTAGAACTAGAATCCTGAAGAGTTCATATACAATTAATGATGAAATTGCCTTTTGCTGACTACAGTCAAAGCAGGTTAGTGTTATGAATGACTTTGAATACATGAGTAACACTTTACAAAGAGATAGCTTTAAAGCAAAAAAGATTTGGAAACTCTGTTCTCAATCTATAAGTTAGAAGATTTTTAGAATTCTAAGGAACACCCTCAGGCATGTATAGGATACAAAAGAATGCAGTGTCAAGAGTTACACTCACTGATCAGCAGGTCTCTCAACTCAATGGGTCTCTTCCATTGTCAACAGTCCCCACTTACTTAATTGACTATCTGAAAGACTAAACATTGTTTTCTGATTTAAAAGGACACAAATAAAAAAAAAACCAGCATATGGAGTTGTTCTTTTACCCTAACAATTTTGGCCACAGAGGACTGGAGGTAATACCTACATTGAGAATTTTGTAACATAGCCAAAAACTATTTCTCCCCAAAATGCTGGTGTTAACAGAAATCTTACTTTCTTCAAAATCTTTTATCCCTTACAAACTTCAATTACCCTTGAGTAACACTGCCTTGTAGAACTTTAAAAAGAAACAAAACAAAAAGGCAACACTGTCCCCAGAAACACAGAAAAAGTTTTCTTTTCTATGGCTTTGAATTAAGGACATTCAATAAAACCACCAGTTTGCATTCCAAACCAAAGTTACTTGGTTACTTCTATACTAAGGGCTCAATGTTAATGATGCATGCTGCTCAAGTATGAAACCGTAGAACCTAATACAAAGCAAAATATATTTAGATCTAAGGCATGTAGCTTCTCTGCCATATTCACCTTCCAAGTGTAAATTTTAAATGCTACCTCGACTGTGGTTTAAATTTTAAAACAACCAAAAGCCACAAAGACAAAATCTGGAAATTTCTGGACAATTAAAAAAAAAAATCAACTAAAATACAGGCTTAATATTTTAAAAAAGTCTAAAGCTATTCCGAGACTTGAAGATAATTGATGTAAACACTGCCTTATAACAGTTAAAACAATAAATTATAAATCTAGCTTTTCTACAAAGATAAAGCAGTGGTTTTTTTTTTTTTTTAACAATCCTGACTACCATCTGCTGTTATGCAATCTCAATAGCTCTGCAAAGCTTTTTTTTAAAAATTTATTCTAGAATAGAATCCACTAGAAGGAAATAAGATGGACTTTTCAGAAATTTACCATTAACTATTTAACATTCTTGAATTAATGTTGCCACAGATTTTTTTTCCAAACACTTCCCCCCAAAAATCTCAATCTAGTAAATTAGATTATTTGCTGTCATTTAGGAAAATTGGCAGTAACACATCTTTTGATCACAAGGGTCAAATTAGTCTAAGTGAAGAGAAAAGCATTCTTCACTCTTCATGATTATGTAGTTTCTTCAGTTTGCATTTTTATTCCTAGAATGTCACAGAATCTACAATTTAAGATACAAGATTCTGAAGTATATGATTTAAAGGCATACCTTGAATTGCCTTCTACCACTTCTCAAAAAAGAAATAAAAATCAATGTTGAACCAAAATTGAGATCATTTAGCACTTGCTAAAATGTGTTTGTGTAATATTCCTTTTTTGCCAATCCATTCATCCCTCTGTAGTTTACAGAGTTGGGAAAATTACCCAAAGTGCAAAATTAAAAAATTTCACCCACATAGAAAGCAAGATTCTGTCTGAGTGGCCTGATCTCAGACCTTAATATGCCAAACTTATTCTAGGTTCCTTGTTTTAAAGTGGAATGCAAAAACTACACAATTAACATTCCAAGTAGATATCAGTTGGGATTCTCAGTCCAATTCCATAGCCATCCTACTATCATAACTACTATACAAAACCCTTAAAAGTAAAGTGACTGTTATCACAGAGGTCATATTACTTAAGGTACTAAATGTCTAGTGTTATAAACAGCAATTAAGTTATATTACCTTCTGACTGCCAAATTCAGACTAAATAGAAAGAATGTATGTACACAATTGTATTTAAAAACAATGAAATATTTTTTTAATCCAAGTATGTCTGAGATGGCTTACTTCTGATGGTCAAGAATGAGAAATTTCCAAAGCAAAAACATTGTATTACACTTGCAACCTTATAAATTTATAAATTTCTTTTCAGAAGAAAAAAATATCCTTTGCATGCATGACTCCCTATTTATAAAGACGTAGATGTAAGAACTTTAACATCTAGTAAAATACTCCACTATTTTGCTCACTAGATCACAGCATTAAAGAAGCTAAAACTGGGATGTCACCTAACAACTATAGGACAAATTATTCCGGGTACGTATATAACTAAAATCAAGCCAATTTTAGTTTTGGGGATGCAACCATTTTTCCCTCGTGAATATTTACTGATAGTTATACTGAGCACTGAGAAAAAATAGGAACTCCAATCTTTTTCCCACATCTTTGGTTAAAAATGCCAGCTTTGTATTTGTATTATAAGGATGCCTGTGGCTTCATCATGAGTACTTTATCAACACAGGGTGATTCCTTACATTCTCTTCTAGTTCCAGTCATCCTAATATGTTCAGTATGCTTTTTTAAAAAAAAAATGGTTCATATTCTTAAAAATGGTTTTAAGAAATGCACTTTTAAAAAAGACACAAAAATTAGTTCAAGTGAGCACAACTACTACTCAATTGGTTGGGGCTTTTCTTATGAAGATAACCAGTTTCAAAAATTATTTCTTGACCAGAATCCTACTAGAAAAAAAAGTCCTTTAGCCAGCAAATTGCTTAAGTTAATTTGCTTAAGTTCAATAAGCAAATACTCAACACATAAGGATAACAAGCCAACTTCAACCACAACATTAAGTCTGCCTAAAGAGAAGGGGCAGAAAACATCCACTTAAGCTTTCTTTTTAAACAGATAATATAAGGACTCTTGATTGTTCTTCCTTGCTTTCTGTAATCACAGCCTTGCTCATAACAGGAAACTTTACTTTGTCAACATGTAACACAGCAAGCAAGGCATCCAGGAACAATCTAGAGGGAGAAAGCAAAGTTATTCATTTTCAACAGCTACTGTATATTTAATCATGAATGCATTACACAAAGATGTTCTTCATCCAATCAGTCTTTTCATTATTGCTGGCTTTGAAAATGGCCAACAATATTCATTAGGTACTGTACCATTAACATTGCATTCAAAAAAAGAAAACATAGGAAACCAAATCCTTGCTCTCCTACTTTGCTGATATGCTCTGGTATTGGCCAGAGTATGGTAGTACAAAAAGAGTCTTGTAGTGATATAAAAGGCAATAAACACATCAATGGAATAATGTTCATGGGCAGCTAAAATGAAGAAGATTCCAAAGAGGTTGAGAACCCAGGATAAAGTGTGCAAGAAATTCCAGCTTCTTGGTGTATCTGGGAAAAGGAGAGAAAGATAATTTTAAAACCACATTCTTTCTAATGTTTCTTAGTTTGTTTTCTCCCATGTCATACAATTTGACACTCTTCCCACAGCCATGCAGCTAGTTATCTAATATGCATAGAAATAGTAAAGATATACTTACATTCAGTGACAAAGAAATTCAGCATAGTTAGGACAACCGTGTGACCACTGAACATGTAATCTCCACAAGTGTGAACACCAGTTAGAGTCATACCAAAGCCACTCCAAATGGCAAAGGCCCGGTGTAGTTTCTCCCATACACTGCCATATATCTATAAAGAAAGTTATGAATTAGTCCTTCAAATACGTAGGGCTTCTGCATATCCACTCCCACTGAAATTCAAAAGTTGAATAACTTATAAGTAAGACCTAAGTAAAATCTGCAGACTTTTCAATTCCAGACATCAAAAAAATGGCTGGTCTTGGTTGGCTGTACTTAAGAAATATTTTAATATTTATATGAAATCAGTATAACTCAAACTCCTCTATTACAAATTCTCTTACAATGGAAAGGTCACAAAAACACTTTCGAGTTTATAATCCAATGTCACATTAGCGTATTTCTTGCCAATTTAAGAAACAGGTTATGACAGGGACCAAGGAATACCATTCAATATCCATTCTCCCCTTCTTCACTGGTTAACAGAATCTCAAATTTATTTTAAGTAGCTATAAACTCAACCAAAGTATTGTTTTTCCCAAACTCCACTGCAGTAAAGTATGGCTATTAAGATATGTATAATACAATGTAAATGATTTCTGGGCTATATGAAATCAATTTACAAAAATTGTAAATTAGTTGTATTCCTCCCGCTATGCAAACATGATCTAGAAGAGAAAAGAAATGAAGAATACAATCCCTTTAACTGCCTCAAAAAGAATTAAATACCTAGAGATAAACTTAACAAAGAGATAAAAGAACTATAAGTGAAAAGTGTAAGCCATTGTTAGAAGAAACAAAAGATACAAAGAAATGGAAAGCTATTTCCTACTCACAGTTTGGAAGAATTAGCATTATAAAATAGTTATCTTAACCAAAGTAATATGCAGAAAGGTACAATACAATCTCTACCAAGGTTTTAATTGTATTCTTCAAAGAAATAAAATATGTTACTGAAATTTATATGGAACCACAAAATATCCTGATTAGCCAAAGGAATCCTGAAACAACAACAAAACAATGCCAGTATCATACTCCCAGGATTCAAACTACACTGCAAAGCTACAGTAATCAAAATGTTATGGTACACCTAAAAACACAGCACAGTTGAATAGGGGCAATTGTACTGCAGTAAGAAATGAAAACATCCATCATGGTGGTGGTAGCAAAAAAAAAAAAAAAAAGAAATGAAAACAATGGGAAATCATTGGGAAACCATAATCCAACAGACTGGTGGAAGATTATGGGTGCTCTCTGGTGGTGGGTGTGCTATGGTAATACATACATCTGAAAAAATAGAAACCTATACTCCTAAATCATATAAACCAAATTTACTTCAATACCAAAAAATAATAATAATAATAATTTTCAAAAACAATAGATGGCACCTCAAATCTACAGGAGCAATTGGAGAAAACTGGAAGAGTTAAATAAGAAGGGTAAGATAGAAAACTCTTGACAAAGCTTTTATATATTATATATAAAGTATGTAAGTATACGTATGTAAAATACAAATATAAAGTACGTAAGTACTTTATATACGTATACTTATATACTTTATATTCTTGCACTCCTTTCATCTCTCAGCTACCTGAATAGACAGAAATTATATAAAGTAATAATATTATACTAGGTTTAGATTAGCATGCTTAAGATATGTATTGCTAGGCTTATAAATATATAGACAACATCGATCAAAAATACCACAAAACAGTAAAGAATAGTTATATATAAGTAGATTCTAAGTCCTGCTGTGGTAATTTTGTATACTGAAAGAATAAAGAACATCAAGGTGCTAGAATAAAAACAGACATAGAGATGATGGAACAGAATTGAGACCAGAAATATACGGGCAGTTAAACTATGATTAAAAAAAAAAAGTCAAAAAAGATACACTAGAGAAAGTCTCTATGGTATTGGGAAAACTAGATAGCACTCGATGCAAAATAATGAAACTAGACCACTATTTCACCCCATATACAAAAATTAATCTAAACTGGACTACAGATTTGGATGTAAGAACTGAAGCCATAATATGTTACTACATCAAAGGGGGAGATACATGAAAGAAAACCAGCTACCATGGATGGATTCATCGATGATCTTCATAGATTAATCTGCAATGGCAAGAGTAACAAGAGAATATAAATGGAACTACAACAAAGGAAAAAGCAGCTCCCCAGTAAAAGAAACTATCATTACAACAAAAAGAACTCACACAACTCAACAAGAAATCAAATAATCCAATTTAAAAAATGGGTATAAGAGTTAAACACACACTTCTTCAAAGAAGACACACAGATAGCCTAAAAGGCATGAGAGAAAATGTTCATCATCACTTAAGACTGTCTCATATCAAAAACACTAGAAATAAGTGTTTCTGAGAAAAAGGAACCATTTTTCATTGTTGGTTAGAATGTACATTGGTTTAGTTCCTATAAAAAACAGTAAGGAGGTTTCTGAAAACATTTGAAAAACATCTGCTGGGCCCTCCCTGGTGGCACAGCGGGTTAAAGCACTGCACTAAGAAGCTAAAGTCACTTCTGCATGAGTTCAATCCCCACCTGCCCCAGAGGTGATCCACATGGCGCGGCAGACCTCTCCTGACCGGTCCGCTGCTCCCCTCAGCAGTGTACTTCATGATCTGTCTATTCCGCTCCCCACTCTGTCTCTGGTGAATCTGTTCACCACCCCTGCACTTCTGGCCTATACCCCAGTTCTGTATGAACAAATAAATAAATGTTTTTTTAAAAAAAAATCTGCCATATGATCCAGCAATTCCACTCCTTGGTGTCTACCCTAAAAATGCAAAAACATTAATTTGAAGGTATATATGCACTCATTTCAGCACTATTTGCTCATTGCAGCACTATTTATGACAATCAAGTAAAGAAAAAAACCTAACTGCTCAAGGTTAAGAAGATGTGGCATATATACACAATGGAATACTCAGCTATTAAAAACAGTGAAATCTTGCCAACTGTGACAACATGAATGAGGGAACTGGAGGGGGTTGAGCTATTTTTTTTTTAAAGATTTATTTATTTATTCATACAGAACTGGGGTACAGGCCAGAGATGCGGAAGGTGAGAAGATTCACCAGGGACAGAGTGGGAAGCAGAACAGGCAGATCGATGAAGTACACTGCTGAGGGGAGCAGCGGGCGGGTCAGGAGAGATCTGCTGCGCCATATGGATCACCTCGGGGGCGGGTGAGGATCTAACTCACGTGGAAGTGGCTTAAGCTTCTTAGTGCATTGCTTTAACCCGCTGCGCCACCAGGGAGGGCCGGGTTGAGCTATTTTAAATAAGTCTTATAAAGAGGCCCTCCCTGGTGGCGCAGCGGGTTAAAGCACAGCACTGAGAAGCTAAAGCCACTTCCGCATGAGTTCGAATCCCGCCTGCCCCGGAGGTGACCACATGGCGTGGCAGACCTCTCCTGACCCGCCCGCTGCTCCCCTCAGCAGTGTACTTAGTTGATCTGCCTGTTCTGCTCCCCACTCTGTCTCTGGTGAATCCTCTCACCCTCCGCAGCTCTGGCCTGTACCCCAGTTCTGTACAAATAAATAAATAAATCTTTAAAAAAAAAATAAGTCTTATAAAGAAAGACAAAGCCAGAGAGTTTCACTTTTAAGTGGAATATAAAGAAATAAAACACAGATCAGACAGAACCAAACCAATTTCAAACCTTGTAACTACAGAGTTGATGTTACTGAGGTAAAGACAGAAAGCAGGGTTTGGAGGGGGAACCAGTGGACTCTGAGTCTCTTGGTGCTACATATGATGTGGTAACATACATTTGGAACAGTGTGATATTATAACTCTAAATTGTTGTAAACCAATGTTACCTGAATTTAAAGAAATTTATTAAGGAAAGAGGGACTGGCTAGGAGGCAGTCTTTTCTATTTTTTCTTCTATCCTACAACTCAAATGATAGCTGAAGTTCTAGCAACCATCTTGGACCATGAAGCAGTCTTCATTCAGAAAGACAGAAGAATCATGTTTTTTTTGATGACTCCATAAAGTTTACAACACTTGACCTGGAGTACCTACTTTCAGACTTCTCTTATGACAGAGAATAAACCACACTGTATAAAATTTTCTGTTATTAAAAGCCAACCTAATCCTGACTCCCACATATAAGATTTAAAAAGCAATACATTTTGAGGATGAATCTGAGCAATAAGCATAAAAAACATTTAACACAGAATACAAAAACTGCTAAAATTTTATATGAACATTTATTATGTGCAAGGCAAACTGCTGAGTGCATTTAAATTCCATAACAATCCTATGAAGTCCATCAATTGTACAAATAAGCAACCGTTTGAGACGGGTAACATAACGAGGAGGTGAGCCCAGAAATCCAATTCCAAAGCATGTATTTTATGGATTTGACTATGGCTACTCAATAAAAGAAACAACTCTGTTAGACACCACAATTTCATGAGAAGTCTCACCTACTGACCATACACTACCCAACTTTCCTTTTCTGTCATAGCTGATGGCAAGAAAGGAAGAGGAATTTATTATTAGACTTCTAATTAGAATAGGGATTGAGATATTATTCTTTTGGAGGAAGGAAAAGGCAGAGAACAACAGAGACTGCTAGGAAATTGTCTTAGACAGGAAACAAGTGATGCCCATGAACAGAAAGCAATTTATTGCTCAATTATTCAAGTTTTCTTATCCTTTCCAATCATAAAAAGTAGCACAACACCAGAGATTGAGTAAGATGTTCTCATGAGAAAAGATGTAAAAATTTGTTTTAAGTGCTTCTTTCCTGAAAGGGGATCCATTGTTAAATTTCAAAAACAGGTATGATTTGATTCTATTCTAAAACTACTTCTGGGAATCTGCTTTCGAGCAAATAATTGATTACAATGAAGGTACTTTAAGAAGCTCACAGTAAGGGATTTGAATGCTAGTTACTACCACCTAACGTTCTATTTTTAATGATTTCAGCAAATAATATGGGTCACTAAGTAGGTTATATTATAGTCCAAAGCAATTAACAGAATTTAGAACAGATTTTAATAGAAATGTCCCTATATAAGCAACTGATAATGAAAAACAGTCATTAGAGACAGAAAAAGGACTGTCCAAACTACAGGGGATGATATTAATTTTTGTAGTACATGATGTGGCCCAAGGCACCTAGTCTTTCTGTTTTAGTAAATGACCCACAATTAAATCTCTCAGCTATAGGAAATTCTCTTTTGGGTATAATAAGCTTATATTTTTCTTTTATTTATTCTCAGTGCTGTGCTTTTTTTTTAAAGCTTATTTTTACATCATTTTGTGCATTTTTCCATCTCAGTCTTTTATTTATTTTTAAAAGATTTATTTATTTACACATACAATGCCAGAGTTGCAGGGGGATAAGAAATATGAACAGAGACAGAGTGGGGAGCTGAACAGGTGGATTTACTAAAATATACCGCTGAGGGGAGGAGTGGACAGTGCAGAGAGGTCTGCTGTGCCATGCTGGTCAGCTCTCTGGCAGGGGAATGGAACTTGTGCTGCATTGGCTGCACCACCAGGGAGGCCCAGCATAACAATTTTTAATGTATATGTTCTAGGATTCTATAATTGTAATTCTAGGAATTTATCATAAAGAAATTATTAAGTAAAAAATATGTATGTACAGGAGTATTTAAGATAGCACTGTTTATAAACTGTAAGATTTAGAAATCACCTAAATGTTAATCATTTACAAACTGGTAGATCAAACAACAGAATACCCTGCAGTTCTTAAAAAGATAAAGTATAGCTATAATTTTTACCCACAAAAAATGTAAATACCTATTAAATAAGCCACAGATCAGTATCTGTAAAACAATCCTACCTTTTGGTTTAAAAGTATCTATCTACGGCCCTCCCTGGTGGCGCAGCGGGTTAAAGCACTGCACTGAGAAGCTAAAGCCACTTCTGCATGAGTTCGATTCCCGCCTGCCCCGGAGGTGACCACATGGCGCGGCAGACCTCTCCTGACCCGCCCACTGCTCCCCTCAGCAGTGTACTTCGTCGATCTGCCTGTTCTGCTCCCCACTCTGTCTCTGGTGAATCCTCTCACTGCCCCTGCAACTCTGGCTTGTACCCCAGTTCTGTATGAATAAATAAATAAATCTTTAAAAAAAAAAAAGTATCTATCTACATGAAGTTATGTGAATAGGTAACAAGCATGCTTAAAACTTCTCTATGTACTCCAATAAAAGTCTCAATGACATTCTTCAAAGAAGCAGAACAAATATCGATGAGATTCATATGGAACCACAAAAGACCTTGACTAGCCAAAACTCTCATGACTAAAAAACAGAGAATGGACATCACAATCCCAGACTTCCAGCCATATTACAAAGCCATGCTAAACATGGAGCTTCTAAATGACTCATCAATCCCATTCCTAAGTATCTACCCAAAAGACAGAAACACTGATTCAAAAAGACACCTGCACCCCCATGTTTACTGCTGCTTTATTTACAATTGGAAAGACATGGAATCAACCCAAAAGTAGATGACTGGATTAAAAAGACGTGTTACATATACAAATGGAATATTACCAAGCAATCAAAAAAGATAAACACATGCCTTTTGCAGCTAACATGGATGGAGCTGGAAGGGATCATGCTTAGTGAAATAAGCCAGAAAGAAAAAGAAAAATAGTGGGTGATAATGAACAACTATATACCAGAGACATTTTACAGTGGTTGAGTGGGAATAGGATCCAAGGGGAGAGAGGGAAGTGCACGGGACTAGGTGATGGCACATGAGTGAACTGGTGATGGTAAGTCTATGGGGGATTGCAGCTGGGGTGGAAAAGGTATAAAATGATGTAAAAATAAACTAATATAATAAAACATTTCCTTTACACTTAATATCATATTAAATTTCCTTCTTTTCTTACAGCTCAATAAACATTCCCATTACCTGGAGAAAGTTTTGTCACCCTTCATGAACCCTCAGGGCTATTACTTTTAGCTCTTGGTCTCTTTAATCTTTGGTCGCTTAATCTTCCCTAGTCAACATGTCAGCTATTAATATTGCAGTAGAAGAACTGACACTTAATTTTGTTTTCCTACTTTGCAAACAACAACAAAGAGATTAAAATATACATTTGACTATTTGGGAACAAACAAAAACAAAAAAGCATGATGGTTCAGACAGGTAGAATATTAAGTTCTTCTGTCAAAATTTAACAAGTCACAACAGCTAATTTTGTTACAGTTTAGTACCCCCCCAAAAAAACCATTATTTACTATATTTTTCCCAAAATAATGAGTCATGAGTCACCTCATGAGGAACTAAGGCTTCTGAGAATAGGAAAAGAAAATGAAGAACAGAAACTTTTTCTTCAGCTCCACAGCATACAACTAGCACTATCAGTGTACAGAAGTTCAGAGAAACAGATTCTGGTGTAAGGCTTTTACCAAATAATTTGTATTATAATTTGTATTTGTATATCTAAGTATTATAAATACAAAAAAGCACATTTTAATACTAAAAGCAAAGTCCTATCAACCCACCAAGAATGAGAGGAAAAAGCATGATAAAGAAGGTAGCAGGCTACCTTTCCAGTACACTGTAGATGCTGTCCTGGTACGGAGAGGGAAGTCACAAACATGGTAAAGCAGCGAAGCAAGAATACAGTGCCCATCAGACTACAGAGCCTTCGCAGAAGAATTGACCTGTGAACAGAGCGACCAAAAAGGGAGAAAGATCAGAAGAAAGCAAACCAAAATAATACCCAGGCATGAAATGTTTACTTAAAGGCAGAGTAAGTAGGAGAACAACTAACTATACTCTTGGAAGAGATCAGACACCTTGAAGACCATCTAAACATCACTGCTAAACAGAACTGTCTGCAATGATGGAAATACTTTACAATGGCATTTTCAATAAACTATCTATAAGCAGTACCTGAGCAATTTAAATGTGACCGGTAAAGCTGAGAAAGAGAATTTTTTTTTTTATTAAAAAGTTTATTTTTACATCATTTTGCACATTTTTTTTTCATCTCAATTGTAATCCCCACGGGTTTCCCATCACCAAATCACCCCTGTGCCACCACCATAGTCCCGTGCATTTCCCTCCCTTCCCCCCCCCCGTTTTTGGTCCCATTCCCCACTCCACCCCCACAGAATGTCTCTGGTCTATGGTTGTTCATTATTTTTGTTATTTTCTCGCCTGGTCCATTATACTCCTGCTATGAGTGAAACCATCCGGTATTTTTCTTTCTCTTTCTGGCTTATCTCACTAAGCATGATCTTTTCCAGCTCCATCCAAGTTGCTGCAAAAGACATGTGTTTCTCTTTTTTGGTTGCTGAGTAATATTCCATTGTATATATGTACCACATCTTTCTAATCCAGTCATCTACTTTTGGGCATTTGGGCTGCTTCCATGTTTTTCCAATTGTAAATAAAGCAGCAATAAACATGGGGGTACAAGTATCTTTTTCAATCAGTGTTTTTGTGTCTTTTGGGTAGATAAAAGACACTAGGAGTGGGATTGCTGGGTCATAGGGAAGCTCCATGTTTAGCAGTTTGAGGAACCTCCAAACAGTTTTCCATAGTGGTTGTACTAGTTTGCATTCCCACCAGCAATGCAGGAGAGTTCCTTTTTCTCCACATCCTTGCCAACATTTGTTGTTGCTAGTTGTTTGAAGATGTACCATTCTCACTGGGGTGAGGTGGTATCTCATTGTGGTTTTAATTTGCATCTCCCTTATTACGAGTGATGTTGAACATTTTTTCATATGCCTGTTGGCCATCTGCATTTCCCCTTTGGAGAAGTGTCTTTTTAGCTCTACTGCCCATTTTTTGATGGGGTTGTTTACTTCATTTTTGTTGAGTTTCATCAGTTCCCCGTATATTTTTGTGATCAGTCCTTTATCGCTACTTTTGTGTGAGAAAATTTTTTCCCAATCAGTGGGATGTCTGTTTTTTGTAATGTCTCTTTTGCTGTACAGAAGCGAAAGAGAATTTACTTTTATGAGACTTTCATTAATTAAAATTAAATTGCCCCCTTGTATCTGCCACATTGGACATTGCAGATCTAAGAGCACTACTTCATGGATAAGGAACAATAAGAGTTATACAAGAGGAAAATAGGATTAGTACCTCATATGACTCTTAGTATTAGTTTCATTGCTCATGAATTACTGAATGAAAGGTAAAATTAAATATGATTCTAAGGAGTTTCTGCTTATTGTAATTTGGTAATGATAGGAGATATCTAACTTTTAACTCAAATTTAAGTTATAAAGGCATCAAGTATGTTGTGTGTACTTACTGTTTATAAGTGTTAAACAAAATAGACTGTAAAATTCTTAGGAATTTTCTGATCATTAATTACATCATAATTTGGTTAATGGTAGTAGGCATTTAGCTTCTAACTCAAATTTAAATTATAAAGGCATCAAGTGTATTGTATATGCTTATTTTTTAATGTGTTAAGCAAAATATTGTAAAACTCCTGTGTATATGCTTTATACATTTTTAAAAATTATTTATTTATACATGCAAGAATTGGGGTGTAGGGCAGGGGTAAAAGGGGTGAGAGGATTCACTGGAGACAGAGTAGGGAACACAACAGGCAGATGTACTACTGAGGGGAGCAGTGGGTAAAATAGAAGAGGTCTGCCAAGTCATGTGGGTCACCTCCCTAACCAGGGATTGAACTCTTATTACTACAGTGGCACTATTTTTTTTATGAATTTTTAAAAAAATGTTCCTTTCTTCCTCACACCACCTGACACAAGATTAGGTCTATCAGTGTATGCACACAGAATGGAACCAAGAAATATGCACTTTAAACAAGTGATACAAAGACCATACTTCAAGGAACACTGATTTGAATAATTGAACATTATGACTTGCATTTAACTGGCCACTGTTATGTTTTGCTGAATGTATCAAGAATTCCTATAAGGCCAACTCTTGTTTTCAACAGTGGAACAAATCAAATCTATTGTTTTATGAGACAGACTTAAGCCAGAAAGCAGTAATGATATTGTGGTTAAAAAAAAAACATAAACCTATGGTTTTAAGCAATCCAAACTTTAATACTGCTATACAACAGGAGAGAATATATCTGTGTGCATTTCACAGTGACAAGAATGGCAATCATGAAACTGAACAAAGGGTCAGAGAGAAATAAAAGATTAAAGTAGTAGGCAAATTATATTGATAGATCTGAGCCACTCAGTAGGGGAGGAGGCGAGAGAGGGTCAAAACACGTGTGGGGAGAGCACACAGGAATATACTGTTCATGGGTGATATGGTGATGGGAGATTTATGAGGATCACACCTGAGGGGAGAAATCAAATGTGCAAAAATGAACAATGTAAGAAAAAAAAGAAAAAAGGCTGCTCTACAGGGCCTGGGAAAAAAAGAAAAGCAGCCATCAACTTTTCCTTTCACATCCAAAGCACTGAAAATAGTTGCTGCTTAGGACCTATGACTGTGGTTTATCTCAGATACTCCCTAGTGAGGGGGAAAAAAGAAAGAATTCAAGGGTATTCTGATTCCTTTTCATTGTCCAAAGATAATGGATAGCAGTTCCATAAACTTTATAATTCTTTAAATTTCATCTTCACCACACCACAAATAATGTCTGGCCTTCCCTGGTGGCGCAGAAGGTTAAAGCACAGCACTAAGAAGCTTAAGGCACTTCTGTATGAGTTCAATCCCAGAGGTGACCACATGGAGCGGCAGACCTCTCCTGGCCCGCCCGCTGTTCCCTTTAGCAGTATACCTCGTAGATCTGCCTGTTCTGCTCCCCACTCTGTCTCTGGTGAATCCTCTCACCTTCCGCATCTCTGGCCTGTACCCCAGCTCTGTATGAATAAATAAATAAATCTTAAAAAAAAAAACAAGTAATGTCTGCTTATTAAGGTAGGAAAGGAGTCTCCTCCTATGCTTCTTATTAGTGGGGTATCATTCCCTTTTTATTTCTTGCTGATAGTACCAAAAAAGCACTCGCGGTCTTTAGCAATTTTCTGTTCCATCTGAACTACAATGTCTAGAAATGCATGGTATATAAAATAACCTTTTTTAAAAATTTGTCTCCTCCAGGCAGAGAATCATCTTTTCCATCCAAACATTAACCAAAGACAATCATTGGAGTTTGTCACATTCTACAGAATGTGACATTTTCAATTCTTTTTAAAAATCTTTTTAAAAGATTTATTTATGCATACAGGAACTGGGGGGTGAGGAGGAAGGTGAGGGGAGGGTTTGGGAGATTCACCAGAGAAGGAGTGGGGAGCAAAACAGGATCTACTGATACGCTGCTGAGGAGAGTAGTGGGCAAGACAGGAAAGGTCTGTTGTGCCATGTGGGTTAGCTCCCTGGCAAGGGGTTGAACTCATGCTGCAGTGGCTGCTGAAGTTTGATAGTACTGATAACCCTGCACCACCAGGGAGGCCCTCAATTTGTTTCTAAAGAAAGATAAAACTAGAGTGTCAATGGTTGCTCCACAACTGATTATCCCCATCCTCTGATCTTTCCCCCTAAATACATCCAGAACATTGCTAAATATGTAGGTATGCCCTTAGGCTAACTCCTTTAATGGTTAAATCCAAAACATTTTTCTGTCAGTATAATGCTACAATGACTAGAAAAGGAAATTTAAAAAGCAGCAACAGGCCCTCCCTGGTGGCTCAGCAGGTTAAAGCACAGCACTAAAAAGCTACAATCTCTTCAGCATGAGTTCAAACCCGCCCGGGAGGTGATCCACATGGCGTGACAGACCTCTCCTCACCCGCCCTCTGCTTCCCTCAGCAGTGTACTTCATACATCTGCCTGTTCTGTTCCCCATTCTGTCTCTGGTGAATCCTCTCACCACCCCTGCACCTATGGCCTGTACCCCAGTTCTGTGCACATAAATAAATTTTAAAAAAACAAAACAAACAAACAAACAAAAAAACAAGCAGCAGCAAAGGGAGAGAAGATTTGATGATGTTTACACAAGACAATATTTTCAGACTTAAATGGAGTTAAGTGAGGTACCTGTGCTTGTGAAGAAGAAGAACCAGGAGCCAAATGTAGCACAGAATCATACCACATACTTCTGTCATGGCAAAGGCCCATGGGATTCGTGGAACACTGGAAGAGAAAGGGAAAGTTAACATTTTAAATTTATTTTCTTTTTCTTTTTTTTTTAGTTTACAAATACTGAAGAAAATATTTGCATATAAATTGTTACCTTGTTCAATAAAATACTCTTCCAACAATTTCTTTCTATAACATATCTTTGGAGAGATGATATTTGGAGAAACTGGGGGAAAACTGTTTAATAAAATATTCTGATAAGAACCTGTTTATTGTTTGTGATACCCTTCCTAGTTCTCTGTAAAGTAACCACCTTTTCTCCCTCTACAGAGTATGGCAGACCTAGATATAGAACTCCCCACAAAAGTAACTGGGAGGAAGGCTCACTCTTATATGCTGTGCCTACTTCAGAATCTAGACCATCAGAACTTGAACTTTTTTCTTATTTTAGAAGCACCAATGTTTTGGTGTTACTTTAATCCTTTATTACTGTTCTCTGTAGTTCCCTATTTTCTTTACCTTTTACAATGATTCCTCTTTCCTATAGCTACCCACTAGTAAAAGGCACAGACGGTATCCTGGATGGAGCTGGTAAGTTTTACGCTAATGAAATAAGTCAGAAGGAAAAAGATAAGTATCAGATGGTTTCACTTATATGTTTACAGAGAAACCAAACAAAAGATCAAGAAAAAAGACAAAACTTGCAAGGGGAGACATACAATAAGGGAAGCGGAGGGAGAGAGGTCAAAACAGGGGAGGGAAGGGCACAAAGGAAATGGTGATGGTTCATAGGGTATATAGTAGTGGGAAAACTCAGGGCAGTACACCTGAGGGAGAAACTTATTGCACAAAAATGAACAGCATAAGAAAATAAATACATTCAGAGGAGGGGAAAAGAAAAAGAAAGGGAGAGAAGAAAAAGGGAGGGAGAAGAAAAAGGGAGGGGGAAAATGTAAATGAAAAAAATCCAAAGGATGACTCAGGTCATCTCTGAATGTTGATGGATTTAATAGTACATTTTTATTAAAAACATTTATACAACACCATGTTATTCATGATTAAGTATAAAGATATATGAAAAAGAAAACATGAAATTTTAAAAACTAGTACTAACTAGTTTAAGCTTTTATTGACTGAGTAACTGAAGCTAGTCAAATCATTTTTATTCAGGACTCATCTTTTAGCCATTACCTCAGAAAAAAGGTTCACTTAATGTTTGACATTATTGAAGAAGTGGTTATTTCAACATTAACAGAATTTTTCAAAGGAAAGACTCCTTTAAATAACTTCTAAAAACATAAACTTGCTATGATGAACATTACAAAAACCCAACCATATATATTTGATAGGTTTTACAATGCTTATTATGAAGTGTCATCTGCTCCACTGCAAACCTAAACCTAATTCCTGATCTCCAAAGGCAATCCCTTTCACACTCCTATTTTATTTGGCATTAACCTGTTAGTCACATTCTCTCTCCCCCATGCTTTCAATATTATTTCACAATTTTAAAATGTTTGGCTTTTATATAATATACATTTGGCTATGAATTACATTTATAACTAAGTATGTAGAGTAACTAAAATTTTCTAGTTACTCTTTTTCAGTTTGCTGTTTCTTGTGTGACTTCATCACCAAACTATTTTTTATCAATTTCAACTTTACCTTGGGAGAAATGTTCCAGAGCTTTTCCCTCTTATTCCAATTTAGAATGGTTGTTATTTTCTAGTCCCATAGCATAGCTGTTTCTTGGAATAAATGTAACCATCCTCTTGGGAATATCCTTGTCTACAATGAATTATCAGTTTCCTGAATTCCATTCCATAACTCTTTTTTATCAGTTTACTCCTTAGTTTTGATGGTACATATTGCCTCTGGTTGTTTTCTGAGACAAGGGTTAGAATATAACCTTGTTTTTGATGTCAGACTTACTGTGATTTATACCATTTTGAGCCATAGTTTGATAAGTTTTGACAAACATATTCGGTTTATGGCCAGCACCAAAATTAAGATAAGTCAATAGGATATTTCCATCATCCCAATGATTCCTTTGTATCTCTTTGCAGTCTATCCCCTTCCTCACTTCCAACTCTGGGGCAACCACTGACCTGATTTCTGGATTTTTAAATAGCTCCTTCCAGGAAGGCATGTAGGCAGAACAGGCAGATCTACTGAAATACACCGCTGAGGAGAGCAGCAGGCTAGACAGGAGAGGTCTGCCATGCTCAGTGGGTTCCCTCCCTAGTTGGGCATTGAACTCATGCTGCAGTGGCTGCTGACAGCCTCACAGTGCTGTGTTTTAACCTGCTTTGCCAACAGGGAGGGCAGGTAGGTTTTAAATTTCTATTCTTTTATTTTAGTTCCCCCAAACTTTAAAATTTTAATTATAAATTTAAGTATAAATTTAGAATATAATTATAAATATATTATAAATTTTAAAACTTATTTATATGGATATCTAATTGACCTTATAAACAGTTTTAGGTAGACAACATGATTCAACATTTGAAATCATTGAGAAAGATACAACTTTATTACTAGTTATACTTAACAATTGTCAAATCCATGATAGAATATTATTGCCTATAGATTCCATACTGCGCATTACACCCCTTGATTTACTTATTTGTACCTGGAGAATTTGTATTCTGAGAATATATGAAGTATTCTGGTCCCTATTTTGTTTCCCAACTCCTTTTCTGTTTTTGTTGGTCTGTTTGTTCTCAAATGTCTGGTGATACCTGACTGACCATATTAGACAGTGAAGTACTGAAAAAAATAATTGGACAACTTGTACGTGAACAGAGCAACTTGTCAAACTGTGTATTTCACTTCCAGAATGACTGGGCAAGTCCAAGTCCCCTTACATTCAACTACTATGAAGAAAATACAACCTATCTTCTGCTGGACTAGTGCAGATCGGAAAGCTTCTTTAATCAATTTTCAACCAATTCTCTTATATTTAGTATCTAATTGTACCTGACCTTGAGAGCTATTTTACTTTCTGTTTTGAGTTTTTTAAAGGTCTACTGTACAAAGAAATTCACCTCTCGAGCACTGGCAGCCTACCCATCTCATAACTTAATTTTCTATTTACAAACTTGGATTATCACTGTTTTGGCTTTCATGGACATATGTTTTCTCCCAGCTACCATGTGTACACTTTCCACTCTCATTTTGGTGGAACACTGTGAGGAAACCCTGAAAAGTGCACTTAACATCTCATTTCTTTTTACGTATTTCTAAAATGCACTAGACATGAATTTTTTTTCTGGATAGAATTTTCTTTGCTAATTCAGAGTCATTAGTGTGAACAATGATTATTACATTGAACAAGGTAATGACCTAAGAGACTACTGAGAAATGAAGGGCAGTAAAGGCCCAGATTAATATAATTATGCCATTATTTATGTTTGTTTATTATAGTGCTTCTGTTTCTTCCCTTGCTATTATGGCTATAAACCATTCCTTCTTACTATTGCTAAATGGGTCTGCTTCTAGAAGCATCTCTTATCTCCTTCGAATTTTCTGCCTATGATATGCTGAAGCTCTTGGAGTCGCGTCAACGAAAGCTTTAGAAGCAAAAATAAGCTTGAGAGCACGTAGGAATATTCCCCAGGGAAAGACACAGGATAAAGAGGAAATGAGATGAGGAAGGCAAGGAAGCAAGGCAAGGGTGAGGCATCAAACAAGCTTTGTGGGGAACTCGGGCAAGGGTAACTTTGGTTCAGTTCTGTGGGAAGTTTGGGTGAATTATCATTTCCATCTAAAAGTTGTCCCAATTAGGATTATGAGAAATGAAGTATTTATACACCTCATCAGCCTGCTAGGAGATGAAAAATTCCAGGTATTTTTGGCTCTTCTTTCAAGCAGGCAAAGTGTGTTCCAGCAGCCCAAGGTTTCCAACAAAAAGACTTTTCTTAAATGCTGGAAGTAACAGTGTACAGGACAAAGGAAAAGAGATCTAAAAGGTATCAGGCAATTGCTACCATTCCTCTAGGAATAAAGTTTAGGTACTAAAAAGTAGTGGGTGGCAATGTAGAGTTAGGCAAATGGAAAACATGTCTAAATAAAACTTTGTACATCAATATTGGGAACATACATTATTAACAGGAGTCCCTAAGTAGAAACAACTCACCACAATTTATAAACTAATGGAAAAATATTAGTTCATTCAATGAACAGTATTCTGTAATAAAAAGGAACGAGGCAAAATTGATACATGTTACTATATGGGAAAAATGGCTTTTCCGGCCATCCTCGTGCAGGGGAGATAGCAATGTTAATCCACAAGTTAAACCACATATTCTATGATTCCATTTATAAGGAATTTTCAGAATGGGCAAATCCACAGAAAGAGAAAGTAGATTACAGATTGCCAGGATCTGGAGGGAGAAGGCAATGAGTATGACTAATAAGTCAGCTTCTTTTGAGTATGAGTTTCTTTTGAGGGTAATGGAATTATTATGGAATTACGGTGATTATTGCACAACTTTGTAGATACACTAAACACAAATGAATTGTACACTTTAAAATAAGATCCTTGTTGCTTTTCAGACCATCTTTTTTCTATTTTCCCATTATGCCTTGTTATAGAGTCATTCTACAGAATCTCAACATCCATTTTCAAGAATTTAGTTTCTGGTTCACTCATTGCCTCCAAAAGTTCTGTTGTAATTGTGTTGTTCTCACTCCTCTTTTTAAGACTTTGTCTTTAATTCTACTTCAGTGAACCAAATCCAGCTATAACCTGGGCCTTGTCATTACTAAGGTGACACCTCATAATTTTAAGAATCCTATACCAATAAACTCTTAAATTTTCATCTTACTCCTTATACCCCAAGTTCAATAAATACTTCTGACACCTAAAATACACTGACCTTAAAACATTCTTCACATATCTCATATACCTTTCTTATCCAAATGAGTTCATGGTCAGTCATTACAATCATTCCCTTGCCTTTATTCCATACTACCTGGGCAAAACTTCAACCACTATCCATTTCTGTTATCTGCAGTTGAGTGAGGCTAGTAAAAAGGTACAAAGATGACTA